TTGTTAATCTTAAGGGTTTCTGCTACTGGAGAGGCTATGAGCATATCTCTGTGGCTCTAGGAAAAATGGAATTGAGGTACAGAGGAGAAAGAGAAGTTGTAGTTTGTTGGCTGAAGGCGTTTGGTTTCCAGACTTAAATGCTAGAATACTGAAATTGTAAGGTGTGGTCTCATTTCAAAGAGAATCAAAAGGACAAGATGAAAGTGGAAATTATAAAATATGTAAAGAAGAATGTAGGACTTTCTTTTATAAATAAGAAGTATCAATTGTCAATGTGCTTCCCCAGGTGTCCCAGCAGAAGAATCCACCTGCCAATGCAGGAGACGGAGGAGACGTGGGTCCAATCCCTGGGTCAGGAAGTGCCTGGAGGAGGTCATGGCAACCTACTCCAGTATTCTTGCCTGGATAATCACATGGACAGAGGAGTCTGGCAGACTACAGTCCATGGGGTTGCAGAGTCGGACGCAACTGAGCACACACACACACACACACACACACACACACACGCACACACACGCACATCGGTTGTCAATGTTGTAATTGAATATTTTCCCATGTGAAGGGAACAGGGCCACTTGGACTTCTCTAATATGTTTGACTATTAAAATATTTTCGACGAATGTGTTACACATAAAACATTTCATCCTATTATGCACAGCCACATTTCTTTGTTAAGATGTATGCATGGTGATGATCATCTTTCCATTATTCAGGATGAAATTCAAAGATGTCCCTTGCTGCTCCTCTGCATCTAGTAGAATTGAATTCTTCATTTGTGTATATGTTGGGGGAGGAAGTGGGGAGTGATTAAGCTGAACTGCTTGAAGAAAAGTAATATATCTGGTTTCAAGAAGCTGGCAGTGAGACTAAAGCACTGAAAATACTTCTGGATCAAAAAGATAAAAAACATAATAAAGCATGCTCATCTTTTTCTAAGCTTCAGGTGAGAAAAAAAACTAAAATTGGAACCAGTTGAGTAGGACAGTTTGATAGTCTTATGCAATGGTGTTTCACTCAGCCATTGTTGTTTTTTAGTCACTAAGTCATGTCCAACTCTACGCGACCCCATGACTGCAGCCGGCCAGGCTCCTCTGTCCATGAGATTCTCCAGGCAAGAATACTGGGGTGGGTTACATGCCCTCCTCCAGGGGATCTTTTGACCTAGGGATCCAACTCGCGTCTCCTGTGCATTGGCAGGCAGATTCTTTACCACCTGAGCCATCACGGAAGTCCCTCTCAATTCATGAGCTTTGTCTGTCTAATCAAGAACAATGAGGAGTTGATTCAAACTTTTGGAAGGATTGACTAGGGGATCCCAAGACGGACTGGAAATGCTAGTGCTGTTCTCCACACATGAACAATGAGTGCCGCAGTTAGATACCTGCTATGAATTGTGGGGAAATACTTTTTTTTTAAACTTAAGAAGAGGAATTTTTTTTTTTTAAATCAAGAAGAAAAATTAGGTTTGTTTTCTCTGCTTTGGGGAGTAATAGACAGAAATAGCTCATGGACTAAAGTCTTCCAGGAAAAATAATGTAGGCATGTAGTGCTTGCTTCAGCAGCTCATATACTAAAAAATGCAGGCATGTATAAATGCATGGCCACGAGATACACAGTAAACTCTAGTTGTCATTAATTTAATAAATAGTGTGACCTTTTGCAGCTCTGAGGAGTTTTTCTTAGAGTTACATCTTCATCTTGATCCATTGAAAGTAATTCATCACCACTTTAAATGAAGGTCCATACCATATTACTATAGTTTCATTCATTTTGTGGCTAAGAAATAATATTGCTATGATGTTAAATTAGTGGTTAAAAGGATTTTTAAAAGCTTTAATATAATAGTGCATTACTGGTAATTTTTAGTGCAGTCACATGTGATATTTCGGTCATAAACTACAGTTTGCATGAGTTTAAAATGAAAATTACTCCTTACCTCTAGATAAGTCTCTATAAAGTCAACCTGGAAAAATCTTATTATGTTTATTTTATTCCTTTTATGCAAACTTCAAATGGTTACTTTATAATCTTTCAAAACACTTTTGGTAAGTCAAGAAATGATTAGTTATTTGTACTATTAATTTCTAATGTTTGAATACAAATTTTTTTGAAAACAGTTGTGGATGATGCCCTTTGCATAATTTATATCAGAATAACAAGTATCATTGCTCTCAATAATATTTACATTATTGATTCAGACAAGCTCCTTTGACTACCCCTGCTTAAGTGATGGATGTGTTTTTCCTGAATATGTCCTGCTGTGAAATAAAATAAGCCAGCACTATGAAGAAATGCAAATGAAGTTTCAAAAATAATGTTAAATAGCTCTTGTGTAACTGTAATGACACTTTAAACTGAGAAGTTCCCATACTAAAAAAGTTTAAATTCCCATTTCCACCTCTTTTCCTCCAATGTGAAAACCTTTTCTTTAATGACACCATTAGTTTTGGTCAGCTTGCAGTCAAACATAAATCTGATTTTTAAAGATGTTCCTAATGTTCTGAATTTGAATTTATGTTCCTACTAACCCAACTCTACCCTGTTCTGTTTTACAGTTTAAACATTTATGAATTTATGACTGCATATCTTAGTGATTCTTTGATCTGTCCCTGAGTTACTGTGACTTATATACAGCTGTGCTAAATTTTCATACATTCATACACTAAGTCATTTATTCACCCAACCGAATGCCTCCCAATGCCAGGCATGGTTCTAGGCACCAAGGATACACTATTTAAAAAAGCAAGATCCCTACCCACATGGAACTTGCATTCCATCTCTGGTTAGTATGCTGAAATCTCACTCTAAATATTTTTCTCCTGAAAGAGGACTTTGCATGCGTGCTCAGTCACTTCAGTCATGTCCAACTCTTGGCAGCCCTGTGGACTTTGGCCCCATGGGTCCCCTGTCCATGGAATTCTCCAGGCAAGAATACTGGAGTGGGTTGCCGTTTCCTTCTCCAAAAGAAGAATTTAGTCTGAAGTAAATTCACCTTATGTTCATGGGTGCCATTTCATTTCTAAATGAACATTTACAGATGATTAGCAACAAATACAATAGATAGATCTGTATGTTTAGCTGTTCTCCAATCATTTCATTGACTAGAGTTTATCAGATGTTCAGAGCTCAGAGCTATTAGAAGATTAATTAGCATTGCTACTGTTAGCATTTGTGTTCAAGTTAATATCTTAAATTTTCCTTGTTACACAAAAATATGTACATAACAATATCTGAGTGGTTAAAAATGTTGGGAAGCTTTAAAAAAAACTCCTGGAGAATTCTTCTCATTTACAGCAGCCTGTAGCTATTCATGCTATTATAATATTGTCAGATTTTATAGTGTTATGAGTAATTGAAGGGTCCTGTGACTGGGCTCCACCAAAATATATTTAATTTCTTTACTGTCAATGATCTCTTCATTATAAAGTGCAAATTTACTCTGTCTCCTTAGTGCTCTGATCTTAAAATGTCATATTCGTACATCCAGATTGCTATATTTTATTCCATGTTAATTCTGGTGGATAACATTTACATTAATATTGAAGATGATATGATGCAGGTTTTCTGTGCTTTATCCTGAGGTGTGAGGCCCTCCAGCCGACTGAGTACAATGAAAGCAGAAAGAGACTGTTCACTTCTCTGTAAGGAAGTAAGCAGGCTGTTTGATGCCTGTGGCTTAGTGGAAGAATATATAAACTGGAGTCAAGAGTCACTTGAGGGATAGTTTCCTTATCTGTAAAAGAGGCAAAAAAAAAAAAAATTGTTTCTCCTACATCAAAGTTTTATAGCAAAGACTGAATGAAAGAATGCAGAAATTACATCTGATTCCAGAAGCTATAACTGGTATTATTTCAGTTTTCTGGTTGCGTCTGCTCCCCAGTATTATAATAACTGATATATGGATGCTTAAGGAGACAATATTTCTCAACAAGGTTTGAATTATACACTTAAACTGCTCCTTTGATTTTAAAGTGTTGTTTGCTTAATTTGGAGCTATAAGGAAACAATGAGATTCTCTTAATTACTGGCCACTCATATTAAACAACAGATGCAGTGATTTGGCTTCCTGATGACTGAACGCATACTGAACCCAGGAGAGCACAGAAAACCCACCTGGCTTCAGAAGTAATACATCAGACCTGAGAGACACCTTTTGAGAGCCATCAATTACAACTGCTTCTACACTAGAAAGGGACATTTTATTTTAGCACTTCCTCTGTGATTAACCGAAGCACAAGCTATTCACCAAGTTCTCTGGTGTGCAGGGACACTGGTGGGAAATGAACAGGGTAGTGGAGCCCTTTCCTGTAATAATACAAGATGATTAAGAGGATCTTTAAAAAAATCAATTGACGAATCAATATCATGTAACTGCTTCTAGCATTTTTCCCATGCTAATCAGGCATTAAGTTGTTTAAGCTAAACATCTCCAGTTTCCCCCAGTTACTGAACTGATTTACAAGACATGGTCAAGGATGTCAGTCTGCTGGAGCCAGATTCCAGAGCATCTGTCATTAAAGAAAGATGGAAATAATTCATAGACAGCCCTCTTTCACTGCACATTCAGAAGCTCTCGAAAGGGAAAATATAATAGGAAGTATTCTCCTAGTTTTAATGTAGTAATCCCAACTTCTAAACATATTTAGAGAATAAAGGTGGGGACTTAATGAAATTCAGGAGTGACAGAGGTCAAAATAACTATAGAAAATAGAAAATGCACATTATATATTTTCAGGCCTTTAAAATTTTGTTTTAACTTCCACCATGGTGAACAGCATGCAGCAAACAAGACTGAATTCCAAACAAAGCAAAGGTATCATAACAGTACCTGTGAAGTGACATAGTATTACCTCCATATATTGCCAGCAATTCAAGTATCAAAACCATGTGTAAACTTTTTCTTGAATGCCACTGTGGGGGAAAAAAAGAAAGAACACTAAGAAATAACTTTAAACAGGGGAAAAAACTTTTTTTATTGATATGTTTTACTTTGCTGGCAGACCAGAGCAAAGGTTTTGTGAACATTTAAAAGATGAAAAAGGTGAAGAATCCCAGAAGCGGTTTATCTTGAAGCGAGATAACTCTAGTATTGATAAAGAAGACACTCAGGTTGGTTCTCAAGTTTGAGAGTGGCTGACGTTGTTGTTTTGGAAGGTGGGCTGCCTGATGTTCTTGTCGTTCTTCTGTTGTCCCTGCTCCCCCCCACCCCCCGCAAATCTCCCCTGCCTCTGAAAAGAACCCCCACCCCCAACCTCCTGTCCCCCTCCCCTACCTCCCCCTTTGGCATTCGGTGGTAGCAAAAGGCCACGTCATGGTTGCTTCAGCGCTGGCTCTGTGTTGGGCTGCATGGGTGGTGCTTGGCGCAGGCTCTGCTGCATGCCTTGGGGGGGTCGGGGTGCCGCAGGCTCTGAGCTGATGGGAAGAGCTTTGTCAGTTGCATTTCCAGGCGTCTGTGTAACTCTGGCAGTCGTTCCCCTCCCTACAGCTTTATCGTTCCGTTGTGCACACATTGCGCTGGATTGTCAATACGGACCGCTGATCAACTGATGTAGCTGTAAACAACAAACCTTGTTATGGTGAGGCCAGGTGGATTTTGCAAACTCTCCCAAAATAAGTCTTCGCAACAAAGAATCGAGTTTATGTTGTAGTCCCCCACCCGTTCCCGTGTTTTAACTTCCATGTTCGTTGTTTGCTTGTTTTGCACGAACTGTAGCAGAACTTCCTCCTTCCCTGTTTTTTGCTTGTGACAAAACATTACATTGTTCTAGAATAACTTTATTCACGAGAACTCGACAAGGCTAGAGAGACTTTTCTCTGGGTGGAGGGGGTGGGTTCCAGGGTGATGAAGAAAACTTAAGTAAATGGCGAAAGAAAACACATTTTCAGTGATAAGGAGAACCATAGAAAGTCATACAAATGCCATTACAATTACGCTTCCTGTCTCTGACAATGAAAATAGAGCTTTTATGAAAATGACTTTTAGAATGCTGAAAGGTAAGACAATCTGCATCACACTCAAGTTATTATTTTAATTACCCACAGTGAGTCACTGTGAGCCAGTATGTGCATCTCTGACACTTTAAAAAAAGCCACAACAAAAAACTGTCCATCATTTGTATCTCATCTCCTCCCCCAACCACCACCCCCGAACCACACCATGGCTTGAGTTGACTTTGACACATGTGCCCATGTCGTGTACTTAGTGGATGTTTGTTGAATGGATGGATGGATGGATGTGGTTAGTGCAGGGCGTTTGGGAGAGGAATGGCAGGGATAAGATGCAAAAGCAATAGGAACACAGGAAGTGACTCAAATAGAAGGCAGAAGAAGAGCACTCCTCATGCTGGGTTCTTTGAATTGTTAGTTTTCTTGATATGGACCCTAATCCACAGACAAGCTTTTGAATTCAGTTCCTCCTTTTATCCCAGCTGCAATGCACAGAGTAAGTCGCTGAGTGAATAAAAACACAAATTAGGATGCAGAGAAATGGCATCCACACCTTTCTTTCTGCCCCTTCCTGCTCTGTTTCTCTGACCACAAGTTTTCAAAGCCATTTATTCTCATGGCCACGTTGAACTCGCCACTTCCTCTTTTCTCGCCATCATTCTGTCTCCTCCTGGGGCATCACATCTTTGCTAAGGAGCCAGAACCCATCACATGGCAAAGGGGCTGAATACCTGAGGCACATTCAGAGCTTACCTTCCAGAAACACCAAGCTATTTGCATCCAACCAGGAAACAGCCAGGAGTAACAGCACCCCTGCCATCACATGGCAACACACCCCACACACATCACCCACCACGACTTCCTCCAGAACCAGAGGGAGTAGACTTGTCAAGCCCCATTTATTTAAGTGAACATTTATTACTCTCAGCTGACAGTTTTTCTTGACTGCAGATTTCCAGCGGCTCACCTTGGGTAACCCTCCTGATTTCTCTTTTCCGTTCAGCAAAGCAGAATGCATCCATTTAGAGATGACAGACGAAGTAAATCAATTGAAGAGAGAGAAGAGGAGTATCAGAGAGTGAGGGGGAGAATATTTGCACATGATGTGAGTAGCTGTTTTCGTTGCCTCTTGAGTGCGGTCCCTCTGTCAGCAGTAAGGCAGCCTGGTCCCCCAGACCGGAAGCTGATAGGAATGAGGGAAGCTGGAGGCAGGGAGCTGCCGAAGGGCAGCGGGCCAGAGGTGCTTCTGGGAGAGGACCTGGTTCAGGGAAGTGATGGAAAAATAGCCAGAGGTTTGTGCGTGTTCCCAAATATAGAGGTCCTATTTGGGGTCAATAAAATAGACCCTAAGTACAGAGAGAGGTTGCCAGCTTTGCAGAAGTCTCTTCATATTTATATTAGCCAACAGATGCCAAGTGGTTTTCTTCTTAACACCAACAATGTGCAGAAGAAAGAATTCCAAAGCAAGAGAAGAGTCAATTGAGCATACACACAGAATTTTCTGCATTCTTAGCAAGTATGGACACGTTGTTATATCAAAGGTAAATAAAGATACTCATCCCCTCCCCCACCCCATTTTCAGATAAAATTTGTTCCGTGACCCATTTTCAAGGGAATGATCCGAAAACAATTTCTTTTGTTCATATCCCAACAAAGAAAATGTGGTTGGGATTTTTTTTTAAAAATTCTTTTGCTCACTGTGGCCAAAATTAAATGCGATTAAATTCCGTACAAATTCAAAGGTGAAAAAAAAACTGAGTTTAGATGCAACAGAATGGAAAGAACAAGCTGTTGCTCTAGGCTTTCTCTTATATGAGCACATTTGGCAGCCTCCAAAAAACTGCTGTGGGTTTTTCCCTCTGCAGAGGTATAGCCAGGAGCACCTTTGTGTAGATTCTCTGTGGCCAACATCTCTGTCTTTACTAAGTCACATGGGCATCTGACCTCCTGTGTGATTTGTTCTCATGATTTGTTTCTTTAAAAGCCATTTAGACACCTAGGCAGAGGAGGCGATGGCACCCCACTCCAGTTTTCTTGCCTGGAAAATCCCATGGATGGAGGAGCCTGATAGGCTGCAGTCCATGGGGTGGCGAAGAGTCGGACACAACTGAGCGACTTCACTTTCACTTTTCACTTTCATGCATTGGAGAAGGAAATGGCAACCCACTCCAGTGTTCTTGCCTGGAGAATCCCAGGGATGGGGGAGCCTGGTGGGCTGCCGTCTATGGGGTCGCACAGAGTCGGACACAACTGAAGCGACTTAGCAGCAGCAGACACCTAGGCATCCATGCTCAACATGGAAGGGGCCTGCTATCCCTGGAGGTTTTAAGCCCAAGCTAGCCTCCTTGGTCTTCCACCTTGTGCTGAATCCTTTAATATGAACTACAGAGGAAATGACACTCTGCACTTCTTTCACGTGCGTGTGGATTTCTCTCATCTGCTCTAGAACCTCTCTGCCTTTCTTAGATATATTAAAATACAATTTTGAATTGAATAGCCTGGTCCAAAGCTTGCAAATTAGGAGAGTGTGAGAGAAGGAGGTGAGGTAGCCATTGTTGAATGATGTCCAGGGACAATTCTAGAAGATTCTAGAAAATCCTTTAATTATGGTCAGAATTCTTGATGGTGCAAAGGACAGCCTGACACGTGGTAGACCTTTCCTTGTGTTTGCTGGATACAAGAACACAGTAATGAGAGGCTCTATTCTAGTCATAATACTGTAATAAACCTATTTGGATTGGAGATAGAGTATTCCTGTCTGATGACCTTCAAGATGAGAAATTTTTCTGAAAGAGAGTTTATTCTCTACTCTCTTTTTCTCTCTCTCCCTCACACACAGACACACACACACACACACACACACACACACTCTCCCTCTTAGTCTAATTCTGGCAAGCCGTATAGTTTATGAATGAGTTGTTACATTATAAAGCAAGGAGTAGTCACCCACATAATGTACAAACAACATTACGCTTTTTTTCTTTGTCACATTGCCAGACACTCGAGCCAGTCGACAGGAACTAGCATCACTGCTGCGTGCCTGTGATGGGGGTGACACTTACCCTGCTATCCTTCATTTTTGTATTCTCGTGCCCATAGGAGGCCATCGAAGGGAGGAGGGGTCAGCCTGACTCCTAGTCCACACTGCATTTCCTCACATCCCTGTTTAGGAGATTTAAAAGTAAGGAACCTGGGTTCCAGGCTGAAGATTGGAGGCAAGGGTTCCTGTTTAAAGCCTCTGTGGCCACATGCTGTATTATTTTTTTTTAACAAGTAAAAGCAGACCTAAATGTGAGACAGCCTGAACGCAAAGCTGTTGTCATAGCCCTTTTATTCCATGAAATATTTCTTCAGCCTTCTCTGCAATGCTGTAGCTACTGCTCCTTGTGGGAGAGGAGGTGTAAACACCTTTGATAGACTTTCTGGTGGCCACCACTTCTGGTTTTACTAATTCAGGTGGGAAACTGACACGTTTCTGACGCTGATTTTCACTTCATCTCCTAGGGTGGTAGGTTTTTTAATCGGCTTTCTGTACTCAGAGAGCTTCCCAGGTGGCTCAGGGGAAGAATCTGCCTACCAGTGTAGGAGATGCCCGAGACGTTGGTTTGATCCCTGGGTTGGGATCAAATTCAACTGATCCCCTGGAGAAGGGCATTGCAACCCACTTCAGTATTGTTGCCTGGAAAATTCCATGGACAGAGGAGCCTGGCGGGCTACAGTCCATGGAATTGCAGAGTCAGACATGACTGAGTGACTAAGCATGACAAAAGCAACCCAGCGTGTACTCATGAAGGGCTTCAGAGATGACTGAAAACCCTTGTTATCACCTGTAGAATGTCACACTCATGAGCATATGTACATTTTTCTAAGGATAAACTCTCTAGTGTTTATCATATTCTAAGTTTTCATGACACTTGAACGACCATGAGCCCCTGTCCTAGAGGGAAATAAAATGCCAAATGTCTCTCTCCCGTGTCTGATAGCTCTTGTAGACACAATGCAGTCATACTACTACTGGTGGTCCCCAAATTAGGCAGCTTAAAAAAGGAAAACAAAATCTTCTCATCCCACAGTGTGCAGAGCTCAGGAATGTGGGGGTGGCTTCGCTGAGTGACTCTGTTTCATGGTCTCTCTTGAGGCTGCAGTCGGGCTGTCGGTTTGGGCTGGAGTCATCTGCAGATTTGGTGCAGTGGTCTTCTACTCCAGGAATCACTCACGTATCGCCAGCCCTCAGTTCTTGGCTGGCTGTCAGCTAGAGATCTCAGTTTCCACATAGTGAGGTGGGGCTCTTTGTAGGCTTGCAGGTGTCCTCACACGTGGCAACCAGCTTTCCCTGGAGCAAGTGATCTGAGAGGGAAAGAAACAGGGTCCCAGATGGAAGCCACGGTACTGTAAGCTGATCTTGGAAGTGACATGCATTCCCTTCTGCTGTATTCTTTCAGACACACAGACCAGCTCTGCCGCACGTGGGTGGTACCACACAGACAAGGGTCCCTGGGGGTCACCCTGTATTAACAGGATATTACCATATCCTCTGTTAAACACATACTCAAGGGCTCAGCAGCAATATGAACTTTCTCGAATACATATGGTAACATAAAGACAGGACCCCCTCGGGAGCCTTTATCTGTATAATTCCAGATTCCCAAATGATCATTACTACCCAAATTGTTAAGGTACACAAGACAATAAGTATATTAACTCATTTGTAAAACAAATGCAAGGAATCCAGCATAAGGAAATTAAGTTATAGATGTATAATTTTTTCAAGCTGGTCTTTAATTTAGCATCCACATAATTTAAAAACAGAGGTAATAAAACCAGCTTCCTTTGTCAGTTATTAAGTCGTAGAGTAGTTCAAACAGGTTCAAATGTCGATATACTTAAGTAGGATTATTTTTTCTACTTGAAGTTACAATAGGCATTTATAGAAAAATACTTCCTCATGTATATGCTTAAGCAAAATCCAAATTTCTTTTAAAATTAGAAGTGTTCTTGAATATTTTACAAATGTATCTTGATGGCTAAGGGATGCATGTATGTGTGTGCGTGTGTGCTTTTGTACATAGGTGCATAATCCAAATATGCAGATTTATTTGAGGATTTTCTAGAAAAGGCTTTTCAAATATAGTTTGAGAATTTGGATATCTTGAAATAAGACCAATTCATCTGTTATTTGAGAACTGAAATGTTTAATTGAGAGCACACAACAATTTAGTTCTCAAATAATAAACAAGTGTACTTTTGAAGTCAGAAATATTTGAAATAGAACTCTTCTTTCCTTTTGGCAAGCGTGTCAACTTATTTTATGATTAATCCTATGCAGTGTTGCTTCCTTTAGGAAGGTTAAGTAGATAAAGCAATATATTTGAGAAGGACCTGTTTTGCCTAGGGGGTAATTTTTGAAGGATATTTATGTGTAAATAGGGATTCGAGGAAGATTTCATCTTTGGTTTTCTTCATGGGGAGCTGATGACGAGGGTGTGAGGTACCACCTGGCTTGGGGGTAGCATGTGGAAGAGAATTCTATAACCCATTAGGCAAAAACATTTTTCTCCTTTATCAAAAAAGCCCTTTATGTATATATCTGAGAATGCATATACCTCACAGCTCTGAATGCTAGGCTTAATTACTGTGATAATTTTATCTTTCTCTGCTATTAAAATTTGTAAGTTATTAATGCTTCTTTTAATACACACACACATGCGCATGCATGCACATACATTTTCATCAGTTACTGAATCATAACCCATAATGTCTTTGTCTTTGTGAAAAGTGTAGTGGATGGATGATGAGATTTTTTTTTTTTTTTTTTAGGACCTTTCCACAAAAATCAGGAAGATGCTCTGGAGATGGGTTTTTAGAGAGCATCATCTTTAATTTGCATGTGCCTTAGTTTTTAGTTCAAAGAGTTTGGGCTGCTTCCCTTACCAAATGCTATTAGATGAACAAGTCCGAAGAGGTCAGCATGTCTTTGATAGCTCCTTCAAAGACATAGTCAAGTCTCAGTTATTCAGAATCAGCCAGAACATCCTAAATGTAATTGACCTCTTTCCAATCTCAAGAACTGAGACTTAGCAAAGTATTAAATTCATCATGGATATCTGGCCTAGTCTCACTTTGTTCATATACCAAGACTTGGCTTAGACTTGACTCAAACCGGTTGGTAAACCCAACTAAAGGAAGTACAAACAATGGGATATTTAGCTTGCTTTAAAGAGATCCTCCTAGGAATAATGTCAGGGGCACATCATCTGTATTTGTTTCCCCTTATAAAATTAAATATCAGATTACTTTAAAGGTATTTTTCTGAAAAGCCTGTTGCTTAATTGGCTGTGGTTGCCTTTTGTTAAAAAGTTTTTGCACACTTCATCTTCAGGATGCATGTTAAATGCATAGGGGTTAAAACAGAAGTGATTCTAGAGATGCCCTCATTAAAGTGCTCAGACCACTGAGAAAAATACCTTATGCCCAAATCTAGTCCTTCAGCTTATGGAAGGAAATGATCTCTCTGGTAAAATGTAGCAAGAAACCAACATCCTGCCCGCCTCTGAGAGGTGGTTACATTAATAGCATTTTTAATTCAAAAATTTTATATTGAAAGGTCATTATTATTTCTTAATTTTTATGTTATTTTCTCTTAAAAATGAGCATATTCAGTCTCTTTGATCCCTTTAGGAGGGGAACTTACTCATTATTTAGAAAATCCACACATATGTTATCTGTGTTTGTGGTTAAAACCTTAGTGCTTTGAAAATGATTTTATGTTAGTTCCTAAGCACAGTTGTATTTTACGACTGTTGTACCATATTTTGTTAAGACTTCTCTTTTTGCTTGTTAAAATTTAATTTGATCCGCCTTTCCCCAGCACCTAATGATAACGGGAATTTTATCTTCCTTACATTGTGTATTAAACTCAAGATAGCAGAGACATGAATACTAGAGAAGGGAAGCTAAAAGGAAAGTGACTGGGTTTTTTTGTGTGAAAAGCTGAGATGTATTAGATGGGTTTGCCATTCTTTTCTGATTAGCTTCATTTTGTTCTCACTTGTTTTCCGAGCTCCTCCCTCGCTCCCTACTCTGCTAACTCCCCGCCGGCATTGGTTGAGGACATCTCTTCAGTTTTGAGAGTCTCACGGGCCATGTGTTTACATTGTGAGAGTTCATCGGGCCGATCCTAGCTTCAGGATTGTGGTTTCACAGCGCGCCCATCCTCAGGCGGATGGCGCCACGTCTGCACGCTCTGCCTTCATCCACCCTGGGCCTCCGGTCCAAGATGGCGGCTGGGTCTTGGCGGCCCTGAGGAGCCCACTAGCTCAGGGCCTGTAGCTCACAGGCGTCTGCCGCAGTTTCATTCACAGCACCTCTCTTCTTCAGACTTGATGTTGACTGGTCTAAATCTCTTTGAAACCTGGAGACACCGTGATGGGAAAGTTGACCCTTCCAACTCTAACCTTTTTGTTTTTCTTCTTCTTTTTTTTTTTTTCCACTAAAAATGCTGCACAGTTTTCTTAATTTTTTTCCTCTTGGAGGAAAAAATAGTTTGAAAATCAGGCCAGGATTTGGGCTCCCTCAGCGTATCCTGAACTTCTGATCCAATGCCTTTTTTTGTTTGTTTGTTTTTCAGTCAGTTTGCTCCCAGGAAAGCCTCTTTGTGGAAAACAGGTAAAATGAAATTTGCTTTTTCATGTCTTTAGAAGAACAGAGTCTGTCATGTGTGTCTTGTTTATTCATATATATATATGCCATATATGTGTGTGCTTGAATATATGTATAAATACATATATCTATGCATGCCCACATATATATGCTCACATATATGTTATTTAGCATATCCAGAAGCTATTTAATTTAGGAAAAAAGTCCTCTCAGTTATTTCCAAACATAGCTTTCAACGGTTTCCTTATTTAAAGTCTCAACTTCTGGTCCTAACAAAGATATAATTCTGTTAACCTTCCCCAGGCATTAAAAAGTATAACTGTTGAGACAGGAACTTGCAGTTTCATTGGCTTATTGAATAGGCTGCTGAAATCACTTGTGTATATGGTATTATCGGCCCCTTCGTGTGCCCCTTCATTGTATGTAGCTACACAGATAATAATTTGAATAATGTTGTTTTATGTTTCTCATTCTAAATAATCTACTGTTTTTCATAAAAGGCCTAACTTGGAAAACTTAGCTAAACTGATCTAGTTTGTAGAGTGTACCTGAATGGGTGTTAGTAGGGGAAGGGATGGTTATGACATGAATGGGTTAAAACATTTATACAAAGTCTTGTGTATAAGAGCAGAGGTTTTCAAATTTAGTATGTACCTTCTAAAAACAGTTCTAAACTGATATAGATATTAAAATGCTCCATCGGTTTAATTGCATATTTTCAAGGGGAATTAAGGAATTCCACATTAGCTGTACCGATCACATTAAAATACATCACAATAGGCAATTTGGATTGGAAATACGGTTTCCATTTTAAAAGGGGTGGTTAATTTCATTTCAGGTGTTGGCTTAATAGGCACCCCTATAAAATTGATTAAAACAGAGGCTATTTGATTAAATTCCAGTACTTAGAAAATTTGAACATTAGAGAGGATTGGTTTAAAAAATGCCATCATTCATATTAGCAGTTAGAACTCTTCAAGTAACTACCCTCAACTGAACAACCTCTTGTAGAAAAAGGGATGAGAGTAGTGAGCAACTCTTTACAGGATATCTAAAAGCATCCTCAAAAATCCATACAGATTTCAACAAATATTCTGTATTTACAGTAAATTCAGAATCCCTGAGTTTTAACATCTTAGGTACGATTTTGAGGCCAAAATTCTCTGTCCTTACCCAGAAGATGAAATGAGCAATTAGAATTCCGTTTAGTAGGACCCTCGTTCCCTAGTCTTCTGGCCAGTCATTTTCCCTGCTTACTCCCGAATCGTAATCATTTATTTGTGTGTTGTATAAAAAGACCACTAGTGCACTTGTGTCCCTAATATTCAAATTGGAGTATATTCATATAATTGGTCACTAATACTCATTGCATATGTTAAGAAGTCTTGACAGTCCCAGAAGCAAAAATCTGAGTAGATTCTCTACAAAAATAAATATATTTCTTGAGTACCTGCCTTTGAAAGGTCATATTTCACTATGCCCCAAAAATAAAGAATAATTTTAATATTATCCAAAGAGAAAAATCACAACTGATACATTCAATTTCTTAAATATCTATTATATCTGTGTCAGTTACTTTGATTCTCCTCTCCTCCCATTCCCTCTGTCTTTTCTTCCCTTCTTTCTCCCTTGTCTAGTATCAGTGCATTAATCCTAGGATATGGACAAATCAGGCTGCCATTCATTTATGAGGGCAAAATTCAACATCAGGCAAATAAACCATAGCCTATGGGGTTGATCTGCAAGACAGGTGTGCTGTAGTGGGTTCACATCCATTTGACATAGGGCATTTAGTACCCTTAGATTTCATATCATAAAAACCATGTTTTTCATTTCCAGTAGGCTCTTGGAAGACAGTAACATATGCAGTGAGACCTATAAGAAAAGACAGCTCTTTCGGTTGGTATGGTTTCCTTTTTTAAAACTGTGTTTTCAGATTATATGCCAGAATCAATGTTGACTATAAGTGTATTAGTGTAAACTATCTCTGTTCATAAAAGGAAATATGTTTGGTTATTTCTTTGTAAAGCTTGTTACCGAGCTAGCTTTGAAGCTTTATTGGGGCCTGTAAGACACAGGACTGGCAAACCACAGCTTGGTCTATAGTTTGTAGGATTCTTCCTCTGATTCTCTGGGTTTTTCTCTGGGGCTGACTTTGGGAGTACACCAACTTCACATTCCCAAATCAACTTTGCTAAATTACACTGAATTAATATTTCTCTGGCAGGTTGCAATTGTGTATATGTTCCCAATACTAGAATGCAAATCCAGGATAACTATTTGAGTAGTTGATTTTTATCCACTACTATCCATCAGGATATTTCAAACAACATTTTTTCAAGCACAGATTTTATTTCTAAAGAAAGACATGGGATTGTCTCCAATTATATTGAATTACATAAAATCTAGATCTGTGTAGGGTAAGGGGAATGTGTGTATTTATAATAGATACATATAGTTTCATATATAATATATATGTAATTATATAAACATATATAAAGTTTTATGTAAACATATATAAAGTTTTATACAAGGCTAGAGAGTGCCAGAGAACTAAAGGGTCTATAGCCATTCTCTCATCACTTTATTAAAAGTATCTCTAGCATCCATTGTAGGGAAGTGGATATATTGTGCTGTATATATATATATATAAATAATATGATTATATATGTGTGTGTATATTGAATACCTCACACATATATTTAATATGTTAGTGTTTTTATGACTATTAGGGAAGGCAAAACAAACCAAACAATAAAAGTTATTGACCACTTAGAAGGAAGAAAATACCAAAAAAAAAAAAGTAAATGGATTCTGGGCTTTGAATATATCTTTTTGCTGTAAATCTGAACTTATGACCCCAACATCAGAAAAGTTCATTTCTTCTCTTTACACTGTGGCAGAAACAAAAAACGGGATCTATTTTTTTTAAGCTTTTACTTTTCTATGTTGAACAACGTCTCTAACACCTTTCTCTTGTATCATTAGACAGTTTATTTTCATACTTGAAGATTAAGAAAATAACCTTGAATTTTTTCCCTTGAAAGCCCAGGAAAAGACTGTGATTTACCAGTGCTCATGCAGTCACACACCATGGCTTGGTTTGTTGAGACCAGTAGAGATAAAATTCTTGACCCCTAGAGGCATTTAGTTTGGGGGCTTCCCTTGTGGCTCAGCTGGTAAAGAATCCACCTGCAATGCAGGAGACCTGGGTTGGGAAGATCCCCCAAAGAAGGGAAAGGCTACCCACTCCAGTATTCTGGCCTGGAGAATTCCATGGACAGTACATGGGGTTGCAAAGATAGCCCCAAATCTGGGTCCCTAGCCAGAACTACCTTCTACTAAGGTCAGCCATTGCAAATATAGATGCTATAACCCACCAAAATTTCCAAGCACAGAAACTTTGAAATGTGACTTAGTACAAAGCAATCCACACACTGATGAAAGTAATTCAAAGTCTACATCATACCTAACTTTGTTTAAAAAAAAAAAAAGCCATGTTCAGACATGAAGGAAAATAAAAATTATCAGTTACATTACTCAGCATAGAAAGTAGAACTTAGAGTACCTGCCCTCTGACTAGTCTGGGGTCAAATTCTATATAGTTACATACAAGAGGGCCAGCGCCTCTTGGTGACCAGATATCGCATTATCATCATCTTCCTGATTCCCAGTTAGAAGGGAATCAGGACTGCGCTTAGGAGTGATGGGAAGGCGCTTGTGGATATAATACCTATGATCCCACACCCAAGTAGATATATGCAGTTCAACTCTGGACCTTACTGCCAGTATTAAGGTGAAAGATGGATAGAGCAGTAAAAAAGATGATTTCCGGGTATCAGTATCTAGAGACCATAAATTGATCATTTTAAATCTCATTAATGCTAACTCTCTATAGCAAAAACTTAAATTCCATTTTTAAAATAAATTTACAGATCTTAACTTGGGTTGAGGATTTGAGCCAGTGGAGTGAAGGTAGAAGTTAAGGAAATCTTAGGTTGCCTTATTGGCCAGGGGATGAGATGAGTCTTAGAAGAGCTACCCAGTGTTTTCGAAACATGCCAAAATGCTCTGAGGAATGGTGGCCGACACCTCCTTTGCAGAGAAAGGCTCAGCCATGCTGGCATTTAGAGGAAGTCTGAATTCCTCCCGTGGAGGTGAAGAGTTGATATGGAGAGAATAATTGAAGCAGAATTAGTGATAATCACCCCCGTATGGAGAGTTGCCTTCTGACACATCCTGTATGCTAAGGACCACCTCAGATCTCTTCCTATAATAGTCTATATTAGCGACAAGTGAGATTATTGTCACATCTCTGGTACATTCACTGTTGCTAAATAAAACTTTAGTTGGGCTTTGTCAAGGGTGGGTCAGATTAATCAGAATTATATGAGCAAATATTGAAGCTGAATTTAGAGATTGAAAAGGAAATAATCAGATTTTCTCTAGTCAGTCTCCTCTGGGCTACTTGAATTTCATAGGTGTTTAGGAACTAAAGTCACCTGGCTCTTGGTGAGTGTCTGATACTTCCTGCTCATAAAATAGTCTTCTTGAACAGTCCTCGTTTCTAAAACTAGCCCATCCCTGAGGTACTGAACCCAGAGAGGATGTTTGTAAGAGAACATTCAGAGAAGAGAGCAGGGCGCTGAGTGCTTTGTTTTGTGAGTTTTCTGTTGCATTTCCTCCCTTCACTGTGCAAAATCTTCATGACAAACTAGCTGTTTTGTTTTTATTATCTCTTGGATTCATTGACCTTCTTAAGTTTTCACGAAATGAAAGAAAAAGTTAAGGCAAAACCTGAAATTTTCTGTATGCCTTCTGCACATTATGGTAGGTGAGTGTTTCAGTCAGATCTTTGTACTTTTAGCATCTCAACAGTCCATGATTGTCTTTAGAAGAATATTAATAAAGCTACTGTTCACATCTTAGAGGTTTGGATCCAGATTTATGTCACATCACACAGTGATATGAAATTAGGGGTTATATGTATTGCCCATGGTTTTTGTCCTCTTATTTATAGTCCATGAGAATCTTAGAATATTTTGATGATCCATAATTTCCAACTGCAGAAAAGGCTTTGAAAACAGTAACCAAGTTATTCTTTAAGCAATTGGAAACCAATGAAAATGCAAATTTCATCAGATTCCTCTGTAAAATACATGCAGCTTTGCACACTGCTGAGAAAGGCTCTCAAGTCTTCAAAATTGACTTCTGGCTATTGGATCTGTTCCAGTAAATTCAGTCTTTTTCTATTTGAATTTTGAACAAATGTGTCATTTCACCTATGGAGCTATTTTGTTTATTTCCATTGATCTCTTTGGAAAGTCTCATGTCAGTGTAGTGTTTGCACTGTTGTTGTTATTATCACACGTTTTTCTATGTGAAAGGGATAAAGGGCTCTTTCCTCTGCCCATGAAGGTTAAACTCACTGGGCAGAATTCTCACCATAGGTTAATAGAGGAATTCCTGTGATTTCTGTGCCATCTGCCAAAGCCTTAATAAATGCAGATCTATATCTCTCACGAAGTTAGAAACTAAATTAGTAAATGGCTTCTTTGGAACTGTGTGTTCCATTTTTCTGTGGTCCAATTACTTAATGCTCAAAAGAAAGACAGAGCTCTTTTTTCAGTGGGAGTTGCTTTTAGGTTCATTCAACATCATAATTGCTCTCAAACATTGATTCACGATTGATTTGGGTCCAGAGAATGTACCCCCTCTCTCCTCTGCATGAGAGAAGTTACCAATTATATTTTATATCCTATTGTTCTCGTTTCTTCTTCACTGGCAGAGGGATTTTGTGACATTTCTCAGTTCGGTTTTTCTGTGTGTAACATGAGCGTTCTGTGTGACGTGTTACCTGTGTGTACATCAGTGAGGTTTGTGGTGTCCCTGGAGGCAGCAGGTGCCCTGGGAAGGGTTGACAAGAAGGCTCTTGCGTAGATGATACTTACAAGAACCACCCCACTCGGTGTCCGTTCTGCTCACGGCATCTAACATTGCCCCATGCATCTTTCCGGTGGCCGTGCTCCAGGGGCAACCGAGATGGCTCAGGAAGAACTTCGGGAAGCAGGCAAAGCAGCTCCGAGAATGAACTCAAGTGGTCCGACCACCAGAGGGCCTGGAGCAGCACAGACTCCGACAGCTCCAACCGCAACCTCAAGCCGGCCATGACCAAGACGGCGAGTTTCGGGGGCATCACGGTGCTCAGCAGGGCTGACAGCACGTCCAGTAGCAGAAGTACCGGGAAGCTGTCCAAAGCAGGTAGTTAGTACTGAATGGGTTTATGTGCCGCCATAGTTTCCGGCTTCCGTCCCAGCTGTATGGTCAGCTCACTCTCTTGAGTTCCCTGAACTAAAGACGACATGCTGTGCTGCGCTGAGTCACTCAGTCGTGTCCGACTCTTTGTGATCCCATGGACTGTAGCCCGCCAGGCTCCTCTGTCCACGGGGATTCTCCAGGCAAGAATACTGGAGTGGGTTGCCATGCCCTCCTCCAGGGGATCTTCCTGAACCAGGGATCGAACCCAGGTCTCCCACGTTGCAGGTGAATTCTCTTTACTGTCAGCCACCAGTGAAGCCCATGATGATGAGGTGAATGTTATTAATCACTGGGTTAGCCAAAAAGTCAGGAGTTGCCACTGAAATAACCATACTGTTGTCGCGAGTCGTGTGCCTGGGGTTCTTGATTGAACCCAGTTCTTATCCTCAGTTTCCTTATCTGTAAAATGTAAGTGATAATAGAATGTTATTCTCACTCCCCTCGCTGAACTGTTGTAATTTTAAATTTGATCATTCATATAAAATCAGTTACTGAGACACCTGTACAAGCCAAGTATTTAACCAAGGTTGGCTGTTTTTTGCATTTAATATTATGATTTATTCTTTAAAACTACATTGTCAGATAATTATAATATTAATTGTTTCAGTTCTTGCTCTGGTAAATTCTTAGTATATGGCTCAGACAGTAAAGAATCTACCCCAGGTTTCATTCCTGGGTTGGAAAGATCTCCTGGAGGAGGAAATGGCAACCCACTCCAGGATTCTTGCCTGGGAAATCCCATGGACAGAGAGCCTGGTGGGCTACAGTCCATGGGGCCACAAAAAGTCAGACACGACTGAGCAACTGACACTGCACACTTTATTTAGTGTGATCCGGGGTAAGTTATTTGTTTCCTCCTTTGAGAAATAATCTCATAATTAGTCTAATCATAGTACCCATATTGCAAGTTATTGCAAAGATTAAGAATTAATATACACAAAGATATTCCAATCGTGCTAGCAAGTTATAAGCCTTCAATAAACACTAATTATTGCTTATTTTTATTATTTCTTTTTAATGTTTTGCAGTTAAGGAAAAAGAGCCTCAGAAAGTTTTCATTTCCAAGTAGCTAGGTGCATGCATCACTTGACGTTTTCCTATTTTGTTTTTCTTACAAGTGAATAGTGACCTTCTGATAGAGCTGGTTCAGGTTTGCATGCACAGTCTTTGAGACATGCACAATGATGAGAAATCTAGGAGAACCATTAACCTGAAACAACTTCACACTGATGGACGCATAACACCATGGGATTCATAGCAGTCTACGAGATATCCCTCATGGTCTGCCGTTTCTAGCTCTTCTGTCTCACAAGTATCCCTCACCATCATTTTCAGATTATTTTCAAATGGCCACAATCAGAAAACTTGAGAGAATCCCCAGAAGCTGACTGAGCCACCATTCAGGAGCCCTCCAGGAACTTTAAGTGTGATGTTAGCATGGGAGTATTCTCCTTTGGTTTTGATTTTGCCTTGTAAGTTTGGAGGCCCTGACTCCCAGCTAGGGTTGTGATCCAGTGATGCGTCTGGAGGTCAGGGTACACGGCTCCCAGATTCCTAGCCTGGGTGTGGAGAGTGGAAGGCCAGGACCCCAGGGGAATGGTGAATGGACAACACCAACCAGAGGTTAAAAAACACATGCTGTTCTCCACGGTGAATACATTCCCAACCAAGCTTCTCACAACTGCTCAGAGACTCTTTGTGAAATCTCAGCTCATTATGCTAATGGCTTAACATAATTATGTTGTTGACAAGTGCTTCCTAAGAAATTATCTTGTGTTTTCCTATATAGGCAGAAAATTAATAGCATTTAGTCTCAGTCACTACTTTACACACACACACACACACACACACAGACACACACACACACACACACACACACACACACCCTGCTTCTTGGAAAGAGTCAGGTGGGCCTGTACTGCCTTTTGGCATTTTTATTCGCCATTTGGTGAATTCTTGGTTTCTTCCTATGATTAATTGCTGTTATACCCCACTACTGCAGCAACTGGAGACAAGAAAATCCACTGTGGTACACTTGAGCTCTTGTAAACTAAGAAAGGTTAAATAGTTTTAAATCTCCTTCAAATGCAGAAACCAAGTACCTTAAACGGTGCACTTAAAAATTCCAGCACACCCAAAGAGCACTTAAGATTTTCAAATTAATAGTTCTTCTCCACACACTAACCACCAGTCATCTCCAAAGCAGACCTCTTTGGAAACATTTAAAACACTTCAAGAATGCTAAAATGCCATGTTCTTTGAAGAATGATTAGAAGCTGTAAGTGCTTCAGACTTTTTTTTTTTTTCTTTTCACCTAAGCATCTCCATTTGAAAGCCTGTCAAGGTATAGGAATGGCAAGAAAAAAAAAAAATTACAGGAGATCAAGATAGGATGTCAAAACAAACTTAGAATCTCCCAAGATGGTTTCACAAAGCAAAGCTGTCAATTTTGCTGTCATGGAGCTTCAGAATCATTCCAGGTTTCCAGTTTTGTTTTTGTTTTGTTTTGTTTATTGTTCACAGTGGACTGGCAAGCTCTCTTGACCTTTTTGAAACTCAGTCTGGAGTTATGATATTTAAGTGCTCCTGCTCCTCCTCTAATTACATAGGTTCTAGCTTCAAATAGATAATAACGAGATGCTTTCCAGATGGGAAGCAGAGTTTCCTACATTTTGGGAAAAGCATGTTACTGAAGTCAAAATGTGCAAGCACATCCTCTTGAGATCTGGGCTGCATTTCCCCTCTTGTACCCTCTGCCCTGAGCCCAGCCATGGTCAGTTACCAGGGGTCCAGCGAAGGTCAGTGGAGACAGCTGATTTCAGCACATCCTCACAGGGAAGAGGACTTGAATGCCTGCAGCCCCATTCTCTCTTGGTAGAATTAAGAATACCATGTCATCTGTCTCTTTCCACGCTGGCCACACCATGTTGTGTGTGTCTGTGTTTTGTTTTTTTTTTTTTTTGGTTGGTTGTTTGGGGGAGTTTTTATTTTATATTGGGGTATAGTTTATTTAAAATGTTGTGTTAGTTTCAGGTGTTTAATTAAAGTGGTTTAATTATAGAGACACACATATCCTTTCTTTTTCAGATTCTTTTCCCATATAGATTATTACAGAGTGTTCAGTAGAATTGCCTGTGCTATACAGTAGGTCTTTGTTGGTTATCTATTTTTATATAGTAGTGTGCATCTGTTAATCCCAGCCTCCTCATTTATCACTGTCCCCTTATCCCCCTTTGGGAGCTGTAAGCTTGTTTTCAAAGTCTGTAAGTCTGCTTCTGTTTTATAAATAAGTTCATCTGTATCATTTTTTTAGAGTCCACATATAAGTGATATCATAGGATATTTGCCTTTCTGGCTTATTTCACTTAGTATGATCATCTTTAGGTCCATCCGTATAGTTGCAAGAGACTTTATTTCCTTCTTTTGTGTAGCTGAGTAATATTCCGTTGTAAATGTACCACATCTTCTTTAGCCATTCATCCACTGATGGACATTTTGGCTGCATCCATGTCTTGGCTACTGTAGATAGTGCTGCTGTGGACATGGGGTTGAGAAATAAGTGGGTTACCTCTGTTTCTTTCCACACTGGCCGCACCGTGTTTTTTGACTACCGTCCTTCCCTCTTGATGTCAGAGCAGGGCTTCTCAACTAGCTGCATCAAGATCACAGGAGAAGTTTGTCCAAGCACAGATGGCTTGTCTACAAACCAAGCTTGAGAAATAGCTGCTCTGGAAAAGTAAGACCACCTTCTGCTTGGTTTTCACAAAACGACATGACCTGGCATCTTGTTTTCTGGTTGCAAGGGTATCCTTGCTGTTGTCACCTTGCTAGTCTGTGCCCCGGGATATCTCTGGAGCCAATGCAAGACACATCATCTTTCCATCACTTCCTCTTCTTTGTGTTAATGTTCATCACTATGCTAATGCATCCTGGATATTCTTTCCCTTGTTATTTCAGAAGTTTTAGTTGAGAGTTCCACTGAACTCTGATCCCTGGTTTCTGGAGACATTTTCCTGGATTCAGGAGGAAAAAATTCTCCTGTTCAGGGTCCCTGTAAAAGAAAAATTGTCCCTGATGAGTTAAACAGGCAAGAAAGACTTTACCCATAACTAATCCAGTGAGGTCAAGACTCTTGGAGTAAGAGAGAGAAACTAAACTCAGGCCTGCAGAAACAAAGACAGGAGAATCTGTAAGTGCACGAGAGAAAGATGCTAGAGGCGCTTACATAGGTGATGGGTCAGTTTAATTAGACCACTTGTGTTTACTGATTGGCACAGAGACTAGCAGAAAAAGGCACCATTTTTTCCTTGAGGATTACACTTCAAAGGCTTGGTTCCCACATCCTTAAGAAAGACCTTTCCTGGTGGTAAAACTGAAAAGAGACTGGGAGAAGATTTACATTTTAAAGGAACACAGATGCTCTATGAAAAGGGAGGAGAGGGGCCTATAATCAGGAAGAAATCGATCTAAAGTGTATTAAGCTGAGGGGAACTTCAAGGGCATCATCCTCATCTCTACTCATCCTTTAGCCTGGTGACTTGCATTTTATAAAAGAAGACATTGAGATCTAAAAAAAAGAAGTCACTTCTGGAGGAAAATGCAAGGAATTCTGACAGAACTAGAGCCAACACTCCCTCCCTGGGGAATGAATGGCGCACTCTCTTCTCCAAGGGAGTCTGCCCCCACCCTTCCCTTTCTGCCCCAGCCCTTCCCTGGATTTCCATTTTGTCTGCCTTGTGATCCCTGCCCCAGTCTCTTTCCATCTCTCCCTTTTCGTGTCTCCCTCTTGAGTGTTCACCTAAGGCTGTCACCCTGGTATCTTCTCTCTTCACCTCCCACCAGCTGCCCCTCCAGGTCCCACTTCCGACTTCTGAGCAACCCGTTGTGAGTAGTGTTGAGTTTCTGGGCAGTGTCTCCTAGAACTTGACTCAGGCCTGGTGAGGACCCTGGTCCCACTGGTTCTTGCTGGAATGACCCATAGTGTAAACACGTGACCTGTAGGCTTCAGGTGTGGTCCCTGGAATTGTGTTGCCTCTGCTTGAACTCAGGCTTCTCCACTGCACTTGGGAAATTTACTTAGCATCTCTGAGGATCAGCTCTCATCTGCAAAGCAACATTGCTGTGCAAAGTAGATTAGATAATTCATACAGAATTATTAGCATGGTGCTTGGTCACATTGACATCCTGCTTAAATATTTGCAGTTGCTATCACTAAGTCCCTGAAAAAAGAAAACACAAACCACTCTCAGTGCCCAAAGTAGTAAAGTTCTCAAATATTAATTTTTTATAAAACTGTGATCACTTCTACTCCTGTGCCTTTTATTAGCATTGGTAGCATCCATTTTTAATCAAGAACTGCCATTAATTCTGGCTATATATAGGATATTGCTTTACCTGATTCTAGATGACCCATATTCAGAAACTGTTCAAAGCTGGTTAGACACCAGCCAGGCTGCATGATCATGGCTGAACCAGCCCTTCAAAGGATCTCGCTGGTTCCATCTTTGCAAGTGTTGAGAGTTTAAGCTGAATTTACTTTTCCTTCTTCTCTTTCTTTTAACCTGTGGGCCCTATATTTACCTTGTCTCGTCATTGTTCCTATTGAAGCTGCTGCTTTTTCTCAGCCAGTAGACGGAAATGATATTGCCAATCAATGATCAGTGGCCATCTTCCAAAAGCCAAGGTGAAATCATCTTTTGGATTTTATAGAGGCACATCTGTCTCTGTGTATCAGTCCCCAGCACAAACACACATGCCCAGGCTGGCCCTAGATTCTTTATTAGGCCCCAGTTTTTCTATCTAACCCATCAGCCTGAACGCAGGCTGAACAATTGTGTGTGACCTTCAACTCCTGGAGGCAGAAAGTGTTACTGTATTATTACTGTTGTTGCTGTTGTTGACTCTTTAAGTGTCAGATTTGGACTGTAGCATCGCATCATAGACACAAGTCCACAAACACACACTAGAGTTTGCACTGAGCAGTGAATTCAGGATCAGACATGTTAGCTGTGTGTTCCCACAACTGCTCTTACCATTTCCACATTTCCCTTTAGATCCTTTATTTTTCTGCCCATGTGTTTTTTTTTTTAATTAATTTTTACTGGAGTATATTATTTTACCATGTGTTCGTCTCAACTGTACAGAAAAGAGAATCAGCCATACATATATATATATATATATATATATATATATATATACCCCCTCTTTTGGATTTCCTTCTCGTTTAGATCACCAAAGAGTGTTAATTAGAGATCCTTGTAGATTCCCAATTAGTTACCTATTTCATATATAGTATCAATACTGCACATATATCAGTCTCAGTCTTCCAGTTCACCCCCCCATGTACCCATATATTATTCAGAACCGTATCTCCATTAGTTAGGTGGACCATCTTGAACTCACCTGAGACCTGATCATTCTGAATAGTCAGAAAAGCACAGAAGATCCCCACCGAGAACACTGGTGTCGGTCAGTAGTGGGTCATGGGCGAATCTAGATCAGTCTGCCAGGATCACATCCCAGCTCCGTCGTTATCTAGCTGTATGGATTGGCTTGAGTTAGCTGCCTTCTCTCTGCTTCCATTTCCTTCCCTGTGTGTGCGGTCACAGTCCTTCAAATCACAGGTTTTACCAAGATGTCCACACATACTACGTGCCCAGTAAATGTCACTATCCTTCGAATTCAGGATAACTTTTGGCTTTTATTTTTATATACTTTTAGATGTCCCTTAAAAGAGTCAATGAGAAAATAATTTAATTACACTTCGACATTGATCATGCTCTGCTTTGAGGGACGAGAAGTGGTCTCTCTGAGAAGCACTGCGGTGACATAGTCATGACTATTTTTGCCCAATTCTGAATTTGTTCAATTCAGACAACTTAGTTTAAGATTTTAAGCCACTCGACCATGTTTGATTCGAATTTGAAAATAAATTCACACCTTGTATTCAAAAACAAAAATATTACCGCAGTCTCTAGTGGTGCCTTTTGTCTGCAGTCACATTATATTCCTCTCATTTATTTTAGAAGTTCTCCAGTTTAAGGGCTCATTTTAGAATCTTCAAAACAATTTTAAATATTCTTTATATATGTATTAACCTTTAGTGGCCCAGAACAATGAATTTTTAATGATATAAATCAATAGTGTGGGCTAATAGTTTTAAAAATTCCTTATACTCCATTCTTGCAAGTTGTGATGTCACTCAATCCATTCATTAGTTTGAATCCACAGATGTAGAAATTTGGCTTGGGGCAGTTTCTCTCTGAGGCTCTGATTTAATATTCAGGGCCCAAGAACAGCCATGGGCAAGGGCGCTGGAGCTGCCTGGCTCTGCTTGCTGCTGTCTCGTGGACTTGGAATGTAGCTTTTCTTGTCCACACTGGAGGGAAAGGGAGACAATTAGCGTTGAATTCCATCTCAGTGGCTTCTGCACACTGACCCTGTGTATTTGAAAAATTGTCAGTCCACAAATCCCCACATGGTTCTGCTCCTGTGTCATCTGAAGAATGATCAATCATTATTGTGATGGCCGAGACCTCTTTGATTTACCTCTTGATCATATTAATAAGACTTCTGTGAATATGCAAGATCTGGTGCAGATCTTAAGCACTTTCTAGATCTTAATTAGAAGGAATGAGTCAGTTCTTCTACTCACATTTGAGGGGAAAGATCACTTCTGACTACGACCTTTCAAAATTCAGCTTTATGGATATTGGAGAACTAGTACTTTAGAACTATCTGCATGACCACAGACTTCTCCTTAAACTGCAGTCATTTTAACTTTTATGTATTCATTTATTGGGCTACAGTGGACAGGAGTTTGAGCAAAGTCTGGGAGACAGTGGAGGACAGAGGAGCCTGGAATGCTATAGTCCATGGGGCCACCAAGAGTCAGACACCAGACAGGACTCAGTGACTGAATAACAACATTTATTTGGCTTTATCGGATCTTAGTTAACAGCATGTGGGATCTTCTTTGAATCAGGAGAGATCTTTCATTGCAGTGCGTGGGCTCTCTGGTAGTGGTATGTGAGCTTATTTGCTGCGCATCATGTGAGATCTCCGTTCCCCCAACAGGGATGGAACCCATGTCCCTGCATTGCAAGGGGGATTCTTAACCATTGGACTACCAGGGAAGTCCCCCAGTCATTTTAGTGTCGTAACTCAAGCTCAGTGAGACCTTTCCACATCATTCACTACTCGAGGAGACAGGAATTTGCAGGCACTGAGTTCTGAGCCTTATGGTACCGTTTACCAGCTCATCACCCTAGTGGTAAGTGAGATGCCAGGAACTGGGGGCTCATTCTTCAGCTCTCTTTTCCTGGGAGTCTGATCTGTCTGAAAAACATGTGACAAATAAAATGTGGGAGAGGCATTAGTTAGTCTTGTGCTGCAGCAGTTGCCTCAGATTTTTCAGTGATGGATTGCTTACAGTGAGCAGTGGTCCCTCTCCCCTTCTCCATGTGGAATGACTCGTTGATCTGTGTCTCTCTGGTAGGTTCCGAGTCCTCCAGCAGTGCAGGCTCCTCAGGATCGCTGTCACGCACGTATCCGCCTCTCCAGAGCACTCCGCTGGTCTCGGGCGTGGCAGCCACTTCTCCTGGCTGTGTGACCTACCCAGAGAACGGGATGGGGGGCCAGGTCGCTCCCAGCAGCGCCAGCTACATCCTCCTTCCCCTCGAAGCTGCCACAGGCATCCCGCCCGGAAGCATCCTCCTTAATCCACACACAGGTTCGTCCATCACCTCTCTTTGACTGAGACACAAGATCTGATGTCTGTTCTTGTGTCTGAGCTTTTGAATTTGCTAGCCAGTGGTCTGAAAGTTCCTGGGGCCTGAATGGTGGTGGAGGGTCTTGTTTTAGGAAGAGCAGATCTATAGAGAGCTGGAATCTGTATCTCAGTATCAATATCAATATTGATGTGGAAATCAAAATACAGATACTTTCCAGAAATATACTTTTCTCTCTGGCCTCTCCTCCCTGGACATGGTGTCCCTCATGTATTCCTAGGATCTAAGATCAGAAACTGTGGAGTGACAAACTGTGAGGTGTTCATTGAAAATGGATATTTCTCAGGCTGAATCCATGGTTCGCTTGTTGTTGTGTTTGAACTGTTTTCACTTTCAAGATAATTCCAGGAACTTGAGATCTCAATTGGACACATAGCAGATTCTTCACTACATAAACTGTCTTCTCATCTTACAACCCCACACAGATACCACTGGGAACAGCAGTGACAAGAGAATGCAGAGGACAGGATCTTACATATTTCAGGAATTTTAGGGTTAGGCTGGTTTTGGTGGGATTTGGAAAATTGCTAATTTCATGACTTGTTTCTTTCATGATGAATGGCCATTGTTGTTGGGTTTTGTTTTTTACTTATAAAATCGAAGTATAGTTCTATAACATTACATAAGTTACAGGTGCAAAATACAGTGCTTTACAATTTTTAAAGTTTATACTCCATTTGTAGTTATTGTAAAACACTGGCTATATTCCCCATGTTGTACAATGTATCCTTGTGGCTTGTTTTATACCTACTAGTTCGTACATCTTAAATTGCTTTGTACTTATTTAATTTCTCTAGTGGTCAGTTATCTTGCACAATAACTTCAGAGGACCCAGAGCACTGGGCAAATAGACTAATGAACACCTGCTCTGTAAGGGATACTTCTCAACCTGAGGCAGTTTTCCCATGCATCCAAGGCCATCTGGCAGTATGTGCAAATATTTTTATTATCATGACCTGGGGAGGAGGGTCTCCTACTGACATCTAAGGAGAGGGACCAGAGATGCGACTACACATCCCAAAATGCACAGGACAGCCCCTGACACCACAGGATTATCCAGCCCAAGATGTCAGTAGTGCCAGGGCTGGGAAACCCTGGGTTGGAAGGCTTGATATCAATAAGTCATTTCTCTAGAAACCTTTGAAAGAGATGGAAAAAATTTTTCAATTTTCTCAAAATATATCTATGGTTTGGTTTAGATTATTCCAGAGTATTTCTTTGCTGAACAAAATTTAAAAATGCAATGCTGGTTAAGAGTCTCATAAAAGTGCTGTGACTCCATGTTTTCACATGTCTAGTAATTAGGAAATTCAGAGATGCATGAGCATGATAGTAAAATACTTACTTGAATAATTGCGACATTTTCATGAAAACATATGGCACATTCTCAAGGCACGGTGTGTGACTGAGACATTTTGAAAATGCCATAAGCTTGAGGGGAAAGAAGGCGTAATCATTGTATTGAAAACCATTTGAAAGCTTTCAGATTAGATACTTGTAAGGAGGATATTAGATTGCTTTTATTTTATCTGGATCATTGTAAGCACTATAAAGGAAATGAAAAGAAAACCAACATCATATCCATTACTCTGGGCACAGTTCAAAGTGTGATCTGATGCTGTCAGTTTAAATTCTTTCACTTTTAATTGAGGTAGGGAGGGTTTGTAGACAAGAGTATCCACTAAGCGTAGTTTTGAGTGGTATGTTTTAACCAAAATTGAAGAGTGTTTCCAAAAAGCTCAACAGAGTATTTTTTAGGGGACAATGATTTGTAATGATAGCATGTATGTGTATATTATCATCTATAATCTTGTTTATAGAAAAGGGAAGAAAGTGCTTCCTGGTGCCAAGTCCCAATTTTTATACATTGGCATGAATAATTTAGAGCTGTTATTGAAATATCTCCTTTGTAAAAGGGTCCTAACTAAAGAAAAGGATCTAATAACACTGTTGACCAGAGTCTCCATACACACATCTGTGATTTGACAAATGAAAGACATGAAACTCTCCCTAGACCAGGAGGAAAATGTACTAAATTATTCTATACCATGATGAGTGGTGAGATGTAAGGTAAGTTGTGATGTTTGTTTTTTTCCAGAATGTGTTTATTTTTGTCAATTAAAAATATGCACAAAATCCCCTCCTGATCTAGTGGTTAGGACTTCGTGCTTTCACGGCCATGGCCCCATATTGCATACCTGGACAGGAAACTAAGATCCTACAAGCTATGTGATATAACCAAAAAAGGAAAAAAAAATATGTACATATACAGATATATGTGTGTCATATATCATATTTGTGTGTGTATATGTGTATTTCTGGTATGTTGTGTGTGAGTCTGTCTCCTTGGCTATTAATCTCTCTTTTTTCAAGATTTTTTTTTTTTGATACGGATCACTTCTAAAGTCTTTATTGAATGTTACCATATTGTTTCTGTGAGGCATATGGGATCTGAGCTCCCCATTCAGGGATTGAACCCACAACCCCTGCATTGGAAGGCGACATCTTAACCACTGGACTGTCAGGGAAGTCCCTATCTAATCACATGATGCTACTATTAAAACTGGAAAGTTGCCTCCGTTGGGCCAAAATTCATCTTTCTCTGGCATTGCTGCCCCCTCCTGGAATCCACCCCTCTTACCCTGTCCTAACTACCTGTCTGCCAACACATGAGAGGAGTGCTTCGGTATTCAACCCAGAGCCTCTGACCCCTTTGCTTCTTGGATGAATTGCTTCAGGGTCCATTTCCCAGTTTCCAGCATGTTCCTGAGCTTGTGGGGAGGAGCCACACTTGGTTCTATTTCTTGCCTCCCTGGAGTGGATGATGAAGTAGCCTGAGGCATTCTGCTCAGACACAGGTCCTCGACAATTACATATTTTTGAAACAGTGTCTACCATTCATCATCCATACTGATGTGGAGAGTAGAGCAGTTTTTCGTCCGGTGTCATATATCTGAGAATGTGCCTCATGTGTAAAATGATGATGGATAAAAATATCTGTCTTAAGCAGGAATAAGACAAGCAATGATTTGAAATTCTAAGGTGCCTGTCCATCATTTGTCTGCTAACTGAAACAAAAATGAAACTTCCTTTGTCGGCACAATGGACCAGACTTTTACTTGACACTGAGTATTTGGCAACCGAAACCAACCCATCCATATACATTCTTTGGAGAGGGAGGTGGGAGGGGGGATCGGGATGGGGAATACATGTATATCCATGGCTGATTCATGTCAATGTATGACAAAAACCACTACAGTATTGTAAAGTAATTAGCCTCCAACTAATAAAAAATTAAAAAAAATAAACATATACATTCTTGCAGTTCCCCCAATACAACCAGGACTTTTTACTTTGTCTGTCTTTAGACTCAGCTCCCACTTGGTCCATTTCTAACTCTGGACCTGTGTTGACTGTTGTTTCTTTGCTCTGTGGGCATCTGGATGAAGGAATCAGAGGCTCTTTGCTCAAGAGTTATGTTTGGACCACGCCTTCATCCTTGCCAGGCAAGCCTGGGTTTGACTCTTGAGATGCAGCTTCCTCCAGCTGTCTTAGACTCAGCCTCCTTCGGGAAGTTTCTCGCCAAAGGCTCATCTTTGGCAGTTTTCTGCCAACATGGTGCTATCCAGAGATGTCAACAGGCATTGGCACGCCTCACGCCCTTGTTAGTGTCCGTGTATGTTGTTTTGCCATTTTGCTCTGCTTTTGTCTGGCTAAAGTTCAGGAGCGTGAGATGCAAGGACACCCTCTGCAAGGACTTGACTTTGAGCTGCCTTTGAAGGCTGGTTTGTTCCGAATGCTCCTCGTGGGCTTCCATAACGCTCTGCTTTTTGTGTTTCACAGGACGTCTAGAATCAATTTATCTGAACTGCTTCCACCTTGTGCTTGAATGCGCCATGAATTTTTTGTGTGCTGTCTAAAAACATGTCTTCGCAAGACCTGAAGTAATCTTTGCTTATCCACAACCGCCAGCTTCTTTATCATTTGACTGCTCACTTTCTAAGAACTAAGAAGGAAGATATTTTTCCCATCCTGCCCTCCCTTCCTTTTTAAATACCCTTCTGCCAGGTACATAGCCGCCATGCTTTCGTATGGGAAACCAAGAGCATATAATTACTTTCTTTTTAGTGTGAACTGCCCCTGGATTCATTTCCTTGTTACCATCCCATTTGTAAGTCCTTCATGAGGAGAGGTCCTGCTGAGTTTTTCGTTTTTGTTTTGCATCCCTGGATAACAGAGCCTCGGTCTCTTGCAGGGGCTCAGTCGTTATCTATTAGTAACATGATGTCAGCTGCACATTACACACGTTGATGTGAAGAGCAGAGACGTTTTTCACCTCAAGTCATGTATTTGAGAGTGGCGGACGCTCTGCATTCAAACCTTCTGTCTGCCCTGGCTCAGCTCACAGCCCTGGCTTACTGCTGTCACTATACCCTCTTTACCTGCCAACACCCGTGCCAGGCCTGCTGGGCAGGCTTCTGCAATTCTGACATGAAAACCTCTGCTGAGTGGAATAGTCCTAGAGCTAGTGAGCCTTTCTCCTTTGGTTTTCATCTGCTGTCATTCAAACTAGTTGTCTGTACTCAGTCGTAATTGCATCTGGATTGGTGAATAGGTAGAAAATGGAGAGGCCGTCATAGCCTGACTTGAAAACCAAGAGTCACCTCCCGGGCCTCATAGGAAATTGTTTTTGGTCTCTTCCCTGGCATTTGTCTTGACTTTTTTCATTTTCCTCGATTCTCTCCATTGTTCCTTGGTGAGCATAAAAATCAACCTTTTATACCATGTTCTCTTTCCAGAAGAGCCTGTCCACTCTCCCTACCCAAGTGAATTCTTAGTACTTCCCATGGACTGTAGCCCACCAGGCTTCTCTGTCTATGGGATTCTCCAGGCAAGAATACTGGAGTGGGTTGCCATTCCCTTCTCCAAGGGATTGTCCCGACCCAGGAATTACCTGGTGTCCTGCATTGCAGGCAGATTCTTTACCATCTGAGCCACCAGGGAAGCCCTAGTAATTTTCACATGTCGCTATTTAGAGATTTCTTTCTTCTGGTCCCCAGCACAATAATATTATTTTAAACAGAGAATCTAAAATGGCAGCTAAATACTTTACAGTTATATTTACACCCTAAACATGGTCAATTTTTCACACTTCCTTTGTTCTCACTGGGGTAAATCAAAAGTCATAGAAATAGTGGGACTTCTCTGGTCCAATAATTAAGACTCTGCATTTCCAATGAAGGGGGCATTGGTTCAATATCTGGTCAGGAAACTAACATCCCACGTGCCATGTGGTGTGACCAAAAATCCACAATAGCAGGTTTTTTTTTTTTAATCCAATTTAATAAAAAGTCATAGCAATAGTAAAGATCATTTTCTTTTTGTTTTCCACCTTTGCATGATTGTGTTTATATGTGTGTGTGTGAGCATAGAGTAAGGCTGACCTGAAAATGATTTCACATGTAGTTGCTATGATTTTTTTTTAATGTTAAGAACCTAAAATTTTCCTCTTACCTATTAAGATACAAAATAGGAGGAGAGAACAAAAGATTAGAACCCCAAATGGGCCAGTAGATTTTTGTAAATTGAGCTATTTTTTTCATTCTTTCTTGAATTGTTGGGTTTTGCAGGAAAAAAAAAAATCGGTTGCAGATTTTTTTTTAATTCAGAAGAGTTATTTTGGAAAAAAAGAACAATAAGACAATAAAACATAGCTAAAATTAAATAACAATAATAGAGAAACAAGTGCTTATGAAGAACAGTTTTTAAAAAACCCTCTAAATTTAGTCATTGTTCTGTGACTAAAATTCTAGCACATTTGCTTTTCTATCACACCATGTTGTGTTGGTTATGAAACTGTTGTTAGAACTTCTGTGGTTCTGGTAGGTATGTTCATGAATAAGCAGCATATAAAGTTACTTGTTGGATACACACACACATATTGAGGGGAGTGCTGAAAATTTGAGAAATGCTAAAGCTTTCATGTCAGCTCCTAATTTCCTTTTTAAAGGAAGGTGTTCTTTCCAGAGCCATCCGTGTTTATTTGCTCACTTTTTAAAATTCATTTTTAATTGGAGGATAGTTGTTTTACAGTGATGTGTAGGTCTCTGCCGTATAACAACGTGAATCCGCCATAAATACGCATGTATTTTCCCCCTCTCTTCAGCCTCCCTCCCACCAGCCCCATTGCTGCCCCTCTCGGTCATCACGGAGCACGGGGTTGAGCTCCCTGTGTCACGCACCAGCTTCCCAGAGCCGTCTGTTTCACACGTGGTCATGCACCTGTTTCAGCGCTACTCTGCCAGTCCATCCCACCCTCTCCTTCCCCTCCTGTGTCCACAAGTCTCTTCTCTACATCTGCATCTCTGTTCCTGCCCTGCAAGTAGGCTCATCAGTATTTAAAGGAAGGTTTTGTTTTGTTTGTTTTGTTTGGCCACACCGTGCAGCATTTGGAATCTTAGTTGCCCGACCTGGGATCAAGCCTGAACCTGTGTGCTCTGCAGTGGAAGCACAGAGTCCTAACCACTGGGCCACCAGGGAAGTCCCATGTTAGTTCCTAAAGGAGTTGGAATTAAGTCCATTGCTCTTTACCTGTAAGCACTTCACCCATATTCTGGGTCTTCTTTATCTACCAATCCTGAGGGTGATTTCCACCTTGAAACATGACCCACACCTCTCCTAACTTCTCATGTGTTAATGAACAGTTTTCAGTTATGGTTGGGTTTGGTTTTTTTTTTTTTTTCATGGAACCTCATTCACTGCCCCATGTATTCATCGTGCAAACTTGGATAATTCACCAAAGTTGTTTGGTGTGATGGGAGGGGCATGGACCAGAGTCATTTCCTAAGTGTCTCACTTACTGCTTCATTTATTTCTGAATAAGTTGCTTGGGCCCTCCAAACCCTGATTATCTTGTCTCTAAAAGTGCAGTGAGGGACTTCCCTGGTGGTTAAGTTGTTAGGATTCCACACTCCCACTGTAGGGGGCACAGGTTCGATCCCTGGTCAGGGAACTAAGATCCCACAAGCCACGTGGCACAGCCAAATGAATAAAAAATAATAAAGTGGAATGAGACTGCGCATCTGTGGGGTGCTTGGAAGAGAGGACCCTGTGTGTAAGGTGCTTGTTGCTGCACCTGTCATATTGGAAACCCACTTCTTCTCTCCCTTACCTTCCTTTCCCTCTTTTCCCCTCTTTCATTTGCTTCTCCTTACCCTTCTCCTTTCAGCCCCTTATTCCTATAATCTTCCTAGTGGCCCTATTTTTCCTCTTCAGAAACACAACACAATGACACCTTTCTTCCTCAGAGGCCCAATGAGGTCCCAATGATACTGTTTTGTAAATTATAAAATACTCCTCAAATGGCAGGAGCAGTAACAGTGAACCACACCAGTATTTCACAGGACAGGACAATGCATATTTGCTTCACCGTGACCAGATGGTTCTGTGATGGGTTTATTATGCATCACTTTCAAAATCTCAGTCCCCTCCCCTGCTGCTGTCTACTTAGAGAAGTGAATGAATGCCTGCAGTATATTCCGGTTGTACATATATTTGTGGAACAGATAATGATTGAGTTGGTGACCAGCCCAGTGGAAGCAAAGCAAATGTACTGGTAAATAATGAGCCACTGAATCTCAGTGTAGGTTACCTCGCTGGTGGCTGCGGGGTCCAGAACCACACACACAGGTCTCCACGGGCCTCCTTCTGGTGCCACTGCGCACAGGTACTCTTAGCTTCGGCGAATCACCCTGAAGGCCGTGGCTTTATTTGCAGTATCTCAAATTGCTTTGGACTTATTATAATGTTATTTTGCTCAACCAGATGAGTCTTAAACAGTCAAGTCTTCACCTTGGTGAAGGTTCTGGTGTCCTTGTCTTCAGGTTCCATTTTGAGCATCTCTCAGAGGGGTTCTTTGTGTCCAAAGAGGGCTTGAGAAGTTTCCCTTGACCAAGGTATGGTCCCGTTGCAGGCCAGCCCTTCGTGAATCCTGATGGAACCCCCGCCATCTACAACCCCCCAGCCAGTCAGCAGCCCCTGCGTAGCGCGATGGTGGGGCAGACCCAGCCGCAGCCCCAGCAACAGCCCTCTCCACAGCCCCAACAGCAGGTCCAGCCAGCCCAGCCGCAAATGGCCGGCCCCCTGGTCACTCAGGTAAGAGCTGGTGGGAAGACCGGGAGGGGAGGCGTGCGGAGACAGAGGTCACGCCAGCCTTGGAGATGTGATGTGTCAGGAAGGGGGCTATTTCCCATGGGTACCACCCCTGTCCACTCAACTCCATCATAAAAGCTGGCCACCGAGAGCCCTGGCTGATAAGCTAATGGGACTTCACCTGAATTCGTAAGTGTAGGTACAGCTGAGCACGCACCCCATCCAGTGAGTTGCGTGCTGAGGCATGGTGCTTGGAAACAGGAATGACAAGTTTTTGTCTTAGATCTAAATGCTGCTTGTATGGTCAAGGAGCCTGACTTGGGGGCGGAACTCAATCCCATTCAGCCCGTTGTCATCATTCCCAATGCAGAGCAGTGTGTGTGTCTGCAAAGACTCAGTATGAAATGCCTTACCAACGGGAAGAACAGAAACCAGCTCATTCCAAGGTGGCCTGGCTGTTCACCTGTGCCTCGGACAGACGTAGGGCTGCCCTTCTGTTTTAGGGCAACACGTGGACATGGCCACAGAAACCTGAGGTGTCCAGGGAAGTGCCCAAGGCGAACCTCAGTTTTCTTTTTTTTTCTTTCTTGCTTCTTACGAAAAATTTTAACCCTGGAAACTCTTAGCCTTTGGACTATATTTTTAGAGCCAGGGAATCTGACCACCACCAACAACATGAAAAGTCTCACAATATTTCTTAAAAAAAAAAACCTAATGAAATTCTTTAAATTCTATAGTGCTTTACAGTTTTTTCAGCAGTTTCACACACATGATTTCTTATCTGGGCAGCAAGCCTCCCCCAAGGCTGGCTGGTGCCTGTCTGCCCGGCTCTGCCTTTCCATCAGTGGCCGGCCCTCCTCTCCAGAATACACTGAACCAAGACTGCCCGTGCGGGATGGTGGTGTGCTTCAGAAGCAGTGGGATTGTAACCCCCAGCACTTACCTGTTGACCTGATGAGCTTTCTCTTTCCTCCAGTCTGTCCAGGGGCTGCAGGCTTCCTCCCAGTCCGTGCAATACCCAACTGTGTCTTTTCCTCCCCAGCAACTCCTGCCCGTGTCTCCAACGCCGCAGTTCCCCCTGGTACTGTATCTTGTGGGGATGACATTTCTCCTGGGAGAGTATGTTCTGGGGTTTTACTATTGCCGAGTGGACTGATGCTGGGTGGGGGGCCCTGAGCTGACTGTCAGCATGGACGCAGTGTGTGAACGTCTCATTCCAGGACATTGCCACTCCTCTCCAGAAATAATGCTTTCCTTTCTGTCATCTGTCTCACGTTTAATGCTCCTGCAGTCTGATACCCTTTTTAGAAGTTTACCAGCTTGGGACTTTTCCTGATAGTCCAGCGGTTAAGACCTCTGTGTTTCCCCTGCAGGGGTCAGGGTTTCGATCCCTGGTCAAGGAACTAAGGTCCCATATGCCACGATGCAAAGCCAAAAAAAATATAAAAAGGCATGTACAAGCTAAGCAGGAATTAGATGTCCTCTGAGTTAGAAGTCAGGAGGAGAGAGATACATGAGTTTGGTGTGAAGGTTGGGAAATACCTTAAAATCAGTATCTAGATGGTAACTGACATCACCCTCTGCTCCTGATACAGATGTTCCCCTAGTATCCCAGTCCTCCAGAGCCCTCTCATTTCCCCTCAATGTACTAGGTCCTTTTGGACAATGAGAGTGAACATTCTCCCTTAACTTTAGGCCAGGCAATGAATAAATACTCCTTTACAAGTGGAATTCCACTCAGCTTGCTGATGACACCAGTCCTGGTTCCATTCTTGCAGCAGCCAAGGGCAGTACAAGTCCCTCTGTCTGTCTGCAGTAGGCAGAGTCTGTGGGCTAATGCTGGTAGACCAGATGACCCTCTAGGATAGACCACCAAGTCCTTTTCATCTCAGTGCTAACCTGAGGATCTTGAGCCCACAGTGAAAAAAATAATCATTTGTTTCCATTGAAAGAAGGAGATACAGGTCAACCCATTGACTATCACTGATCCTCAAGATGTTTAAAATCTATTTTCCCTTGTTACGTTCTCTTGTTTTGGACAGAGAATTCCTTTGATTTATTTTTTTCCAGACCATCCCCCCTCTGCCTCCTGTAAGGGCAAGCCTGTGTCCTGTGTCTGCTTCTCTGTGCCCCTCCCATTCCTCAGCCAGCCTTGCTGATGTCCCGGTTTCTCTTGATGGCTTGCAGAGAGAGGACGTGGCCACACAGTTCGGCCAGCTGACCCTGAGCCGGCAGTCTTCAGGGGAGACTCCCGAGCCCCCCACAGGTCCCGTCTACCCACCATCCCTCCTGCCTCAGCCCACCCAGCAGCCAAGCTACGTCATCGCTTCCACGGGTCAGCAGCTTCCCACGGGGAGCTTCTCTGGCTCCCAGCAAGTCCTCCAACCCCCTGCCTCGCCACAGGGATTCGTGCATCAGCCTCCACCCACACAGGTGAGTGTGCCTCTTCTCACACTTGGGACCCAGAACATCTTGAGCTCAGTTTTCCATGTAGAGATGTCGCCAACTCAGCCCACCTCGCCCTTCTGGGCCATGCTGATAGTCCCAGCCTACAGGTCTTGGTCTGTCCTGTTCACCAGCTGTGCAGAGTCTTGCGGGGCTCAGAAAGGAAGCTGGACGAGGCGGACCTGTGTCCCCAGGACTGGAGGGAATGGCCCACTGTCTAGGCTGTTGTTGCAGAGGCCATGGCAGAGCATCACCTCCTGCAGGATGTGGCTCACTATGGTGATGGCTCGGGGCAGGACAGCCCTGGGGAAGGAAGCGGGGAAGTCAGCTCCTGGGGGCCTTGCATCTCTCCTGCTGCTGCTCTGGAAACATGTTTCCTTTCTTATCCATTCAGAAGCATCTTTCTGGAGCCAATCGGGGGCTCCTCTCAATATAAAGGAGGAAGCTAAGCCCCCTCCACTGTACTCTCCTCTCCCCGGGGGCTCTGGCCTCCCACGCCCGCCCACAGGTAGCCATTAATCATATTTAATTGACTTGGGCATGTAAGACACCACAGATCACTGATTTTTACTGTCTTCTCAAAGACTGATTATGTGTTAGTCTTCACCACCAAACATCTCTGGGGCTCTCCTGGGCATCCCTTGCTGAATATTGCAAGTGATTACTGTCAAGATGTAAAATGCACTGAGGCATTTTCTGGTCCATTTTCAAGGCATGCATAGCTCAAGCAAATTCCATCCTAATTATGAAATATCTCATTGGAGGAGCTGTTTCAAGTACAGTGTCACCTTTGTATCATTTGTGGTTGCCTTAACATCTTGAATAAATTATTTTCTTTTCCTGCCATGCAGAATCCTCTACCATGAAGTGATTTTCACCCAGTCATTCATTTTATCTTGAGTGATAATTATAGTCCACCTTTAGTTGCCTTCTCTGTAATATAGTAGTGTCACTGGTAGGGTTTAAAGTGAAAGTGGCTCAGTCGTGTCTGACTCTGTGACCCCATGGACTTTATAGTCCATGGAATTCTCCAGGCCAGAATAATGGAGTGGGTAGCCTTTCCCTTCTCCAGGAGATCTTCCCAACCCAGGGATCAAACCCAGGTCTCTCATCTTGCAGGTAGATTCTTATCAGCTGAGCCACCAGGAAATACTGGAGTAGGTAGCCTATCCCTTCTCCAGTGGATCTTCCTGACCCAGGAATCAAACCAGGGTCTCCTACATTGCAGGTAGATTCTTTACCAACTGAGGTATCAGGGTAGGCTTTAAGGAGATATGAAAAATAATTCTAAGTTACAGGAGAACAGGCCTCACTAATATATTAATGATTTTAATAATATTTAATTTTGGGGAAAGAAAAGACTTGGCAGAATATTCAGTTGAAGCCTTTTTTTAAAAAAAGATATCCCTGCTTGACTGAAGGAATTCCAGTTTTAGTGAGCAAAGATACTAGAGCAAATATTAAAGCAAAGACAACCCAGAGCGCTGGTGTGTCTGCAACGGAAATACTCTCCTTCTCTCATCAATAGATTTAAAAATAGAAAGAGAGAGGGAACGGGGGGAAAAAACCAGAAAACACATGTTAACGATCAGTCTGAACATCTCTGAACTTCTTTGTAAAAGAACCACAGGTAAAGGTATAGGATATATCCCACAGTGATTTTCAATTTATTAAACATTTTAAAACTCAATGACTCAATGATGTATAATAATGAAAATAACATGAGATATGGTCTGTGGGCATATATGAAAATATGCTCAATTTATGCATAAAAATGAACCTATTTAATAACTATAAAGGTCAGTTTTGTCTGACTTGCTATGAACACCCAGCCCACCAGAAGAGTGAAGCAAATATGCATGGACAAGGCAAAGAGGGCAAGCCATAAAAATCTCCATGCTCAAACAGGTGGCTTTTAATATTATTCTAAACAGATAAACCTTGTAGCCTGTGAACTGGCATGCTTACATTGTAAAGAAGTTGATAGAAGAAAAGTCAGAGGCCTAGAAATAAAAAGTAATTGATTAATAAGAAAAGAGCCTTCATATAAATGACCTGAGACAGGCAAGAAATCTTTCCAGGTCACTAGACATTTTATTTGAATATTACTGGAAGTAATTAGAATATTTTCAGTCATTCCCAGTCAGGAGAAAGTGACAAAAGGTGACGTAAACAATAATTTTGACCTATGTCCCTTTCTAGACTGAACATTCTTTTTTTAACCTATGTTCCTTTTTAGACTGAATATTCCTTTTTTTTTTTTTTTTTGGAGGGGGGATACTGGCTATGTGCCACTCTGCTAAGCGCTCTCCTGGACCTCCCCTTATTTTAAAACTTCATCCTCTGATCCTTGTAGGCTGGAGATCAGCAGGTTTCATGACTTACCTGTGTTTCCATTAGAAAAACGATTCAAGTTAGATGATCACATTTAAGTGAAGTGAAGTGAAAGTCACTCAGTCGTGTCTGACTCTTTGCGACCGCATGGACTGTATAGCCCACCAGGTTCCTCCGTCCATGGAATTCTCCAGGCAAAAATACTGGAGTGGGTTGCCATTCCCTTCTCCAAGGGATCTTCCCAACCCAGGGATCAAACCCAGGTCTCTCACATTACAGGTAGATTCTTTACCAGCTAAGCCACCAGGGAAGCCTGATCACATTTAAAACTACCCAAAAATGTGCTGTCATTGTTGATGACTGTTTCATTCACTCTTCTTGCATTTAAAAAAAAATAAAAAATTCAGTGCTTTAAGACAACAGCCGTTGTCGAGCTCACAGCCAGGTCAGCGATTTGTGGCAGGACTCCGTGGGGATGGCCCGCCCCTTCAGCATGTGGTGCTGTCCCAGGCAGCTTTACTGGGCCTGGAAGGTTCCATGTGGCCTCACTCACGAGTCAGAGCATTGGGATCTTGGCTGGGCAGCCTCTGGCCTCCACATGGCCTCTTGCTCCAGCTGGGCAGCCTGGACTTCTGGTGGCTGGGTTCTTTCCTGAAAGAGTGAAAGCTGCAAGTCTTGTTAAGGATCAGGCATTCAAGTCTCAGAAATCATCATTCCTGTCTGATGGCATTGGTAACACATACCTGGGCTTCCCTGGGAGCTCAGCTGGTAAGGAATCCACCTGCAATGCAGGAGACCCTGGTTAGATTCCTGTGTCGGGAAGATCCGCTAAAGAAAGGATTGGCTCCCCACTCCAGCATTCTTGGACTTCTTTGGTGGTTTACATGGTAAAGCAGCCTCCTCCCGTGCAGGAGATCTGAGTTTGATCCCTGAGTTGAGAAGATCCCCTGGAGAAGGGAACAACTACCTAGCCCCGTGTTCTGGCCTGGAGAATTCCACAGACAGACGAGTATAGCAGGCTACAGTCCATAGGGCCGCAGAGTTGGACACAACTGAGTGACTTTCGCTCACTCACTCAGTGCATACGCATGTAGGCAGGGTGGCCATCTTTGCAATTTACTGTACTCACATTATGTCATGAGATGCCAATATATTTTATGTTTGAAAACGTTACTCTGTTTGCAGCCCTCACGTCCTGCCATTGTTCCCTTCCTTCCCCAGATGCCTGTGTATTATTATCCGTCTGGTCAGTACCCTACCTCAACCACGCAGCAGTACCGGCCTATGGCCTCGGTTCAGTTCAGCGCTCAGAGGGGCCAGCAAATACCGCCAACGGCGCAGCCAGCAGGTACTTGGAATGTGTTGCCCACTTCCTCCTCCAGCTCAGTTATTTTGCACATAAATCTCTCAGCTGTCCTCTTTGGATGAGCATCCAAGCTTCACAGTTCAAATCAGCTCATTCCCCTTCCCCGGGGAAGATAATGGAGCGTTTGATGAACTGTGTGGAAAAGTGACAGGTCCCACGAGGTGAAATCCACGTTACCCAGCCTCCCCAGCATGCACGCGAAACACGGTCTGCATAACTGACTTGGGGACCCTCTTTGTTTCTCTGAAAGCTGAGAGCCCACCACCTCCCCATCTTCCTAGTTCATAGTATCCCCCACCTGTTTTCAACCTAGAGAGACTCTTTCCCTGTCCCTAAGGCTAGGGAACCTAGCACCCTAAAAAAAATGCAGTGTCTGGAGAAGAAGGTCGCTGAGCGCCCGCCTGTGTCCGCGTGGGCCCCGGCGCCGGGCTCACGGTCTGGGGGCCACTCGCCGCCCGCGGCAGCCGCTGTGCAGTGGGAAGGGGGGCCGAGGCACTGTCCGAGAGTGAGTAGCAGGTCTCACAGTGAACCGGTCTCTTTCCCTACTGTTCCACACTCCTGACGGGACGCCGCCACCCCACGGCCGCAGGAAGCCGGCCGGCGCGAGGGACCCACGCCGGGGACGCAGGGGGTCCCTCCCGCTGCCCGCACAGTGCGGGGAGCCGCCGCCGCCGCCGCCGGTCCTGCCGAAGACCCCCGGCCAGGGGCCCCTGCCTTCCGTGAGTAGGGCGGCGTGTTAGAGCACGTGCTCCCATCTGCCGTCCGACCTGCGCACTGGATCTGTGTGTGCGCCTCTGTGATGTGTGAGAGTGGGGGTGGAGGACATGCAGGAAACGCACAGCTTCTGTACGTTGTGACCGAAAGCACCGTCTTTTCCGAGGATGAGTGCAGATCCCCACTGGGGGAATACTCATGCTGGTGGCACTGGCCTTTTGTCAGTTGGGAGGGATCATCTATTAACTGTGTTGGGAGTAGCTATCTGTTCTTTAGTTCATCTCACGACCTGCTTAAAGTCTGTGGGAGAAGGCAGGGACACGTATGGCAGGCAACCAGACTTTGCCTTGTTTTCAACTCTGTGTGTTTCGGAAAGAATATATCTTGACCTCTGAAATGACACTTTTGCAGTAATGAGACCACTGAAGGACTTCTGATTATTAGTTATTTTAAGATAGGTGTTTGGCCATCTTTTCTCTCCTTGTTGGAAAATGTTATCTCTTTCAAGCTGGTGGTAACTGTGCTGTCAATTTAGATACAGTCTCTAGTGATGTGTTGTTTACATTCTGAACTGTCTTTTTTTTTTATCTGCTCATGTTTATCAAAGAGTTAATGTATAATCTTCTAGCTCTTGGTCCAGAGACTATAGCAAAGTTTCCCTTTTGGTTACTGATGCCTTTAAAAGAAGAAAGATGTCAATATCTAACTATAAGAATTTAAAAAATTTTAGTTGAGTGCCACTGTTGGAGAGTTTTCTGAAGGATATGCTAGTCCTGTGTTAGGGTACAGTTCACATATAAGAAGGCAGATCCAGAGGGTTGGGAACCTATTGCACTGTGAGCTCTGGGTCTGTGTGAGGGGCTGAATAAGTTGGATGAATGTATTAACTAGGTAACAGACTAAGATTTTTAGAACAAGCCTCGGACTCCCCACTGCCTCCGCTGGTACATGTTAACACAAGGGAGAATCCATGTGACCTTTCTTTATTCTTTTTTAAACACTGTGGGAGAATTTGGGGATGCAGAAACCACCCTCCCCATCTCAGGGAGGCCTAACTGGTAGCATTTATGACAACTCAGTGGCTCTGACTTGTCCCGTGGCTCCACATCACCAGGGAACTGCCACCCCAAGGCGAGATAATGACATGTAATTAGAAGAAGGCATTCTAAGTCAGTATCTTGCTCAAAATAGCAGCTGGTGCTTCAGGTGTCAAGGAAGTGAGTGGCAGCTAATATGTCTGTGGGGGTGGGGAGATGAGAAACACCAAAAGGATACATGCACAGCCTCGTCCTTGAAATCAATAACATGGTGTGCACGTGCAGGCCCTAAGCTCTTAGTTCAGTGAGCCCCACACCTGACATCAGGCCTAACATTCCCCAGCATTTTCCACCTCTCCTGAATTTACTGAGTGTTTGGGGGGCAGCTGGTGATCTCCCTGAGAATCACCTCTGCTAATAAAACCCAAGGGACACAGCTCAGCAATGGCTCCTTGATGGGAGAAGGGGCTCTGGGGCCCTACAGCTGGGAAGCATTTTGCCGAGCTTAGCAGCACCAACAGCAACTTCCCAAAGGGACGTGGCGAGTAATTTGGGGGAGCCGCTGTGTCGGTGGACTCTCTGACAGAGAAAGCCTCCTAAGCCTGCATGTTAACCAATTTATCATAATGGCATAAATACACTTACTAGTTTTGCCATTACTTCCTGGTATGGATGATACTATAAAAATTAACATGCTGGTAACTAAGCCAGCATGCTACCAAGGCAGATAATGTGTAACTAATTCTCTGAGTACACAAGTTGGCTCAACAGCAGAACAAGTTGAAAACCTGGACTCTTGCCTCCCAACTCACATGGGCTTCCATGTTATTTTACAGAGCTGGTCAGGAACAAATGACAGAGAGCAGCTGAGACATCTGCATACAAATCACACATTGGGAAGGAAAAAAATCAGAGTTCCTTTTAGATCATGTCTCCAATTCCAAATTCCCCTTTCAGTTGACTTAAAAAGCAAAATATCTGTATATATAGCTTTGTTCTTGATTCTCCAAGATCTTGGGCATGCCCTAATGGCAACAAAAATGAGCTTGTAAAGCCTCATATACCTTCCTAACTAGGCATTTGGGAATGAATACATCCTAATTTTGGTATTAGAGTACTACTGGTTTCATAAAATGAATTAGAAAGTGTTTCCTGGTCTTCTGTTTTCTGGTCAAAATGCATCAAGCTGGTGCTAAGTCTTCTTTAAATGTTTGCTAGAATTCTCCAGTGAAACTGCCAGAGCCTGGAAATTTGCGGAATCAGAAATATTTTGCTTTCTTTTTATTTGAAAATAATGTGTGGGACTTTTTAATTATGAATTCATTATGGTTATAAGACTATTCCAATTATCCATTTTATCTTTGCTGAGCTTTGGTCGTTTGTGGTTGCTGAGGAATTGGCCCATTTCTTCTGAGTTGTAGAATTTATGGCTATAAAGTTGTCAGTAGTTCTTTATTATTCCTTTGTTTTTCTTTTCTTTTGTGTGTTTTTGGCTACACTAGGTCTTTGTTGCAACTCGGGGGTTCTTTGTTGTGGCATGCGGGCATCTCTAGGTGTCTGTGCAGACTCAGTAGTTGTGGCCCACAGGCTTAGTTGCCCTGTGGCATGTGGAATCTTAGCTTCCAGCCAGGGATTGAACCTGCATCCTCTGCATTGCAAGGCAGATTCTTAGCCAGTGAACCACTAGGGAAGTCCCTCCTTTATTATTTTTTTAATAGCTGCAGAATATGTGATAGCTTCTTCCACCTTGATAATGATAACTTTTAAATTCTCTTAATTTTCATAAGAGCTTCCCTGGTGGCTCAACTGAGAAAGAGTCTACACACAATGCAGGAGACTTGGGTTCAATTCCTGAGTCTGGAAGATCCCCTGGAGGAGGAAATGGCAACCCACTCCAGTATTCTTGCCTGGAAGATTCCATGGACAGAGGAGCCTGGCAGGCAGGCTACCGTCCACAGGGTCTCAAAGAATCAGACAATCTTGCTAAATGTATCGAGTTTATTGATCTTATCAAAGAACTACCTCTTTGTTTCATTAATGTTCTCTTTTTTATTTTCAATTTTATTGATTTCTGCTCTTATTTTCTTCCTTTTGCTTATTTTAGTCCTATTTTGGTCTACTTTTTATAGTTTCTTGAGGTAGGAAGTTGGATTATTGATTTTAAAACCTTTGCTCTTTTCTGATGTAAGATTTTAATGTTCTAAGTTTCATTGTCAAGTTTACTTTGGCTGTGTCCCACATATTTTTATATGTCATATTTTCATTCATTTATATGTATTTTTTCTTTTCTTGGAGATTTCCTCTTTGGCCCATGGTTTATTTAGAAGTGTGTTGTTTAATATGCAAGTGTTTGGAGATTTCCCTGTGTATTTCTGTTATTGATTCTAGACTGATTTCATTTTTGTCAAAAACTATAACTGATTTCAGTTCTTATAAAATTGTTGAGGTTGGTTTTATAGCCCAGGAGATGGTCTCTCTCAGTGAATGTTCCTTTAAGCACTTGGAATAAATGGGTATTCTGTTGTTGTTAGGTGGAATGTTCTCTACATTTCAGTCAAATCCTATTTATTTTGTTGTTCAGATCTTCTGTAATCATGCTGATTTTTATTTGCTCATTCTGTCTGTTGCAGAGAGGTGGAGATTCACAACTCCAACTATAAGACTTCTTAAAGTCCTGAAATGAATCTCAAGACAAAGGTTCCTCCCCCCAACCCCATACTCCTGAAGTCTAAGGATGGAGGGAGGTCTGTAGCTATATGGAGCATGTTGGTTCCTTTCCCAAATAAACAAGAAATGCTTCCTTCCCTAAAAGAAGCTGGAAGCATTCCATAGACATCCCATTCCATAGTCAGGAAGGGAAAGGCCCTGTGACCAGTGGAGTTTGGGTGAGGTCTTCTGTAAGCTGCTGCCCTGTCTCTCTCACACCAGGCTTTCAGCCCAGTTGCTTAGCGGCAATAATACGACTTTAGGTCTAGGTATGAAAATCATGAGGGTAACCGCTTTACAAGGGACAGTCCAGTGGTCTGCTTTCCTGATAGAGCAAAAGATTCTGTATTCTTGATTGTCATGAAAACAAACTAACACAATACCGTAAAACAGTTATCCTCCAATTAAAAATTTAAAAAAAAATAGAACAATAGGAAGAAAACATGGATGGCTTCAGAGCAGAAAGGGGGGGAAAAAAACACGAAACTTGGTAGAATCTTAAATTAGACTAGATTATAACTCCTA